TGTAAATCCTATCCTCTGAGCCTGTGGTTATATGCCCATTTGGGAGTGGGTTGTCTTTGTTACATTAATGAGACAGAATTAGTATAGTGTGTATCTTGAGTCAACCGGTTACAAGTTACAAAAAACCTGTTGCCATCGAGTTGATTCTGACTCATAGCGACCGATAGGACCGAATAGAACTGCCCCACAGTGTTTCGAAGGAGTGGCTGGTGGATTCAAACTGCAACCTTTTGGTTTGCAGCCCAATGCTTAACCACTGCGCCACCAAGGCCCCATAAGATATAAAAAAGAGCAGATTAGACTAGCAGAGATGAGGGAAGAGAGATGACAAGCCACGTGAGGATTGCCCAGGAGCAGGAGCTCAGAAAAGGCAAGGATCTTCCTCCAGAGCTCACAGAGAGAGAAAGCCTGCCCCCAGAGCTGCCACTCTGAATTTGGACTTCTAGCCTCCTAAAACGTGAGAAAATAAATTTCCATTTGTTAAAACCACTCACTTGTGGTATTTCTGTAATAGCAGCACTAGATAACTAAAATACATTCAAGACCCATCCAACAGTCTCAGAAATGTTCTTTATAGCAATAGGATCCAATTTAGGCTCAAACGTTGAACTTGGTTGTCATGTCCTTTACATCCCGTTTTGTCTACGAAGGCTTCCTCAGGTCTTCATTGACCTTCATTACCTTTATATTTTTGAAGATTACATGCTAGTTATTTTGTAGAATGTCCTTGAATTTGAATTCGTCTGATGTGTTCTTATGATTAGTTTCAGATCATGCAATTTTTTAAAATCAATATTAGAAGTGATGCTATGTTCTTCTCACTGCATCATCCCATTGGGTGGTATATGTTTTCAGTTTGTTCCATCACTAGTGATGTTATCTTTGATGACTTGAGTAAGGCGCCTTCATGCTAAAGTTACTCTTTTGCCTTTTGTGATGAATAAGTATTTTGTGAGAAGATGCATCCCCACAAGTATCCCGTTTTTGCCGGTTAGTTTTAGCCTGTGCTGATATTTCTTACTTGAATTATTTTTTACTGTCATGTTTGCCAATATTTTACGATGATATTTTCTAATTTTCATTAGTTCAACATTTGTTGGCATTCTGCATTCTGTATCTGCCCACTAGTTTTACCATCTATTAATGTTTCTTGCTTAAATTCTTTTTTATTTGCATGGTTGCCAAGTCTTGATTTTTCTAATTGTTATTCCTTCAATATTTATTAGTTGGCATTCAACTCTAGGGAAGAGCTTCTTATTCTCTCCACTATATATTCATTTATTTATTGATAATAGTTTGGACTCTATACAAGAGGGTGTGTGTGTGTATGTGTGTGTGTGTGTGTGTGTGTGTGTGTGTATATAGTGTCCATTATATAATTTGTTTCTATCATAATTTATTTTAATGGGCGTATTATCCCAGATTTGGCCAGTTGGAGCCCTCTTCAAGCTAGCTTTTGTGTCCTCCTGACATTTCTCCACATTCTTTGAAGACTTCTTTACTTCCTCACGTAATAGGATGTTCCATACTCATCTTGCACCTCCTGTGCTAGCTCTGGTTCCTTTTAGTAATGAATAATATTTAGAAACCAAGATCTGGACTTTAGTTAGGTGTCTTCACTGATACTGGGAGTCACCGGTTTCAGGCCCTTTCAGTGGGCAGAACTAGAAAATATACATATGCACATACACGTAAACAACTTGACTGATAGATTTTTCCATTAAATTGTAGTCCTATGAGGACTTAGAGGTTAGCATAACCTGTGTACATGGGAGTGCTTAGGGAAGGGGTCATTCAGGCATTTATTAGTTTATATGCCTGTGACGCTATAATCTTTAATAAAAAAGATGCCATGCCAATCTTAAAAAAAGAGTTGCATCTTTGAATTAAAAGTGAATTGTGACAATTTTTAGACATTTATTAATTAAATTTATTAATTAGTTATAGAGATGGATGATGGTAAATGATGACTGAAAAGCATATAAAGATATTTAATCTTTCTGGCGTTAAAAGTAAACCCAAAACCATAATCACCTTAGTTTTTGATAGGAAAAATTTTTAGAATACTGTGGCAAATTTTCTGTTCATTTTGACTCAAACAGAATCTTTAAGAAGAAAGTATTTTTTGGGGGTGGGAGGGGAATGACACAATTCAATCCATAACACCTCCCAAACTCAAATCCATTTCCCTTCTACCCTCCCCCCAAAGGTGACCGCTATCATGAATTAGACATAAGGATATAGTTGGTTTTTTTTTTTTTATTGTACTTTAGATGAAGGTCTATAGAACTAAGTAGCTTTTCATTAAACAGTACACATACTGTTTTATGACATTGGTTAACAACCCCACAGCATATTAACACTCTACCTTCTTGACCTTGGGTTCCCTATTACCAGCTTTCCTGTCCTGTCCTGCCTTCTAGCCCTTGCCCCTGGGCTGGTGTGCCCCTTCAGTCTCGTTTTGTTTTCTGGACCTGTCTAATCTTTGGCTGAAGGGTGAACCTTAGGAGTGACTTCATTACTGAGCTAAAAGGGTGTCTGGTGGCCATA